AGAGAGAATTAACTTATTTACTTCTATCACCAATTTCTCATTATCATAATACAGGGAAAATGCCAGAATTATTGATGTGGATGTCATTTATTACAGGACGGTATAAAACTAGATCTTCACATTGCCAAATAAATGGGACTACTCAACAATAGCAGAAGTAAAGAGATGTGGTTCTTTTAGGCCTCCTTTGTGAAATATATTAAATGTCCAACACAAAAAGAAAGTGTTAGATTTGCTAAAGAAAGAAAAGAAAGAAATGAAGAAAAGAGAGAGCATTGCGCTGCTGTATTTATTTCACACCACTAAACTATTAGGGTTACACATACTTATATAAAAGACTAAAGGAACAAAAAATAACTACCCTTATACACTAATACTTAGCACTCCCCGTCAAGTTGGTGCAAGATATCTCTCATGCCCAACTTGCAGCAAATAGGATGGAAAACTCTTACTACTAAGCCCTTAGTAAAGACATCAGCCAATTGATCTGCAAACTTCACAAAAGGCGATACATATGAAACCCTTATTCAATTCTCCTTGATAAATGTCTTGTCGATCTCAATATGCTTGTTCTATCATGCTGAATAGGATTGTGAGCAATACTAATGACAGCTTTGTTGTCACAGTACAGTGTCAATGGTCACTTACAAACAACCCAATATCATTCAACAAGGAACTGGGAGCCAACATCAATTTCACATGTTACCATGCGCCATAGCCTGTATTCTGCCTCTGCACTAGATCTGGACACCACGCTTGTTTCTACACGCATGTGACTAAATTTCCTCCCACAACATGCACAGTAACTGAGGGTTAGATTGCCTGTCTCATAAAAACCAGCCCAATCACATCTGTGAAGCTCCAACCTCAAATGACATGATATTGGAAAATTAAAATCCTTTTCCAAGAGCATATGTTAAGATACTCAAAATACGATACACTGCACCAATTGAGGGGCACAAGGCTCATCATAAATTGGCCACTCATCCTCGACCGCATCAGGCAAATCTGGACGACGTGTGGATAAATGACTATAAGTCTTCCCACAAGTCGCTGGTACCTTTCCTTCTCCACAAGATCCACACCACTACAAAGATGGTGATTAGCCTCAATTAGCGAATCAAACGGTCGGCAGCCCTAACAGCCAGTTCCTCAAGAAGATCTAAAATATACTTTCCGCTGAGGAAGAAAGATGCTTTTGTCAGAATCTGGCCAACTTTCAATCCCAAGAAAATCTCCTTCTGAGTTCTGTGGCCGATAAGGCCTTCAATTTAATTCCCAAAGCAGATAATCAAACAGATATTTCTACGGTGAATAGATAGAAATTCAAAACCACATATTTTCTCATAATGGCATACAAAATCATATTAAAAACATAATCATACTCATATTAAGGACCAATTAACATATTACGGAACAGGGATATCACACTTAGCAAAGAAAATTATAACACCATAAAACAAAAGAAAATAATATCTATTGAAGTAAAAAGTTTTCTAAATGATCCTCTCCTCAATAAATTTACATGTATTTATAGTGAATACCACTGTGAAGGTAATTCTTTTTGCAGGTTTATGTGATTCATGCATCATCCATCCCATTAGGGATGGCAACTAGACGGAACAGGGTGAGTTTTACACTCGCCATACCCAATCCCTAATTTTTATTTTTTCTCCAACCCAATCCCCAATAATCTCAATGGAGATCATTTTTATACCACCATCCTAGCTCCTGAAACTGTGTTTGGTTGAGGATTTATGAAGGGATTTGAAAAGAGAAAGAGAAAAAGCAAATAAAATGTGAATAAAATATACTTATATTTTACTTAGTTTCACACACCTTTTTTTTTTATTTTCTAAATTTTTTCTTAAATCTCTGAACCAAACACAACATAATAGGTTCAATTTTGCCCACCCCGCAAATCCCTGACCCATTCTTCAGTTCATATCCCCTAACAAACAAAAAGGGAAAAATAAAGTAAAATGAGGAAGAGTAGAAAGTGAATGAAAGGGACTTCGCCAAAGATTAAAAAATTGCAGTTATATATATATATATATATTTATCTTTAGTAATTTTTTTATCTTTTAATTTTTCAATTTTCTTTTACTTTTTAGATTCTTTTACACTAAAGTGATGATTTTACTAAATTATTTTTATATAAATTTTAAAAAAAAAAATTTAAAACAAAATAAATTTTTTTTTTTTTTACAAATAACAGATTGCACTTGGATAAAATAATAATAATAATAAAATAACACTTAATCCCCTCGTTATTTTTTTAATCACATACCTTTTCTAACTTTGTTAATCCGATTGTATAAGGGAATTGTTAATCCAGTTAGACTAATAATCCACTCATAAATTTCTCCAACCAAACATATTTTCACTAGTCTAACCTTACTGTCACTCAAATCCTACCACTTATGGAGATAACAAACATGGCCTTTGTGCTGCAGCAAACAAAAGGCCATCAAGGAAAAAAAAAAACACAAAGGGATAAGAATTTTAGTAGGTCTACGTTATTTTAATAATTTTTTAATTTTTTATAGTTAAAATATAAGGTAAAAAAACATTAGCATGTTTGAATGACTTCTTAAGTTTTAATGAAAAAATGTACAAAAATAAAATAAAAAGAACAATTTTTTTTTATTTTTTTGTATAATTTGTTGACATTTTGACCTTTTTTAATAACTTTTTGATTTTTAAACTAAAAGTTAATATTACCGAACGAGGCCTAACAAAATTAAAACTTCAGAATTTTTTTATTTTATTTTTTTGTAATTGTCGCTTTATTTATTTTGCAAATTTTTTCAGGATTCAATTGGTTACGCTTTTTTATTTTTTATTTTATTTTATTTTATTTTAATTTTTGGGAAATATTCAAAGGATAAATTACACTTTGCTTCTTCATATTTGGTCATTCTCTCAATTTTTAACTCTTAAGCTTTTTTTTTCTTACTTTAGCCTTCCATATTTCAAATTTTCTCAATTTACTGTTAAAAACTAACTTATATTTAAAAATTAGATTAAAAATGCCACATTCATTGTCACATGACTTAAAAAATATATTATTATATTATTATTTGAATTTGTATCAGAACTGTGAATTATGTATAATAATATCTTTATGTTATGTTGCTGTGAATTTGATAATTTTTTTGTCTAATTGTGCACATAAGCTAGCTTTTAGAGTAAATTGAAGAAAAAAAAATTAAAACATGAAGGGTTAAAGTAAGGGGGAAAAACTTTAAATATCAAAATGAGAAAATGACTGAATATAAAAATGACAAAGTGTAATTTACCCAATTTCAAAATTAAGTTGGTAAAAAAATTAATAATAAATATTTATGAATTTCTCTTTTAATTTTTTTTTTTTGGGCTGAAAGTAATTTTTAAGGATTAAAAATGTATATTATTTATTTTTTTATTTTTTATTTTTCAACAATAAAATCAGAAAATAAAATCTGAAATCTGAAACAAATTTTAAAACTTATTTTCTAATACAAAAAATGATCCTTACAAAATAAGACACAACTATGAAATATCCAATTCTATAAAAAAAATCTTTTTTATTCATAACATAACTTATTTCTATTTTCAAAAATTCTACGAATGTGTATCATATACACTATTTTTGTAATGCTTGTTACACATTTTTATGATAAATATTATATAATCTTCTCGTAGATTTATAATAATTTATGATTCAAAATTAAGTTATATATTTTTTGTAATGCCAGTCATTTTTATGATAATATTACACATTTTTTCATAAAAAATGTAACATTATTATAAAAATGCATAATTTCAAATTATAAATATATCAGTATGATTGTGTTAAACTATTTGTTTATTTTTTATCTTAAGAAATTTAAACCGTACTGGTCAAATTATTAAATATACATTGATAAGAGTGAAAATTATTCTTTACAAAATTTGCACATGTTTATTGATCCCAATAAAAATAGAAGAAATTTAAAATTAGCGTAAATTTTGAAAAATAATTACAAATAACTGATAAATTTTATAAATATTAATAATTAAAATTGTACATTTTATCATAAATTTGTAATAACTTTTCAAAACTACCCCTAAATGGTAATTTCCCCATAAAAGCAAGCATCAATGGACGCAATTGTATCCATTCAGCATTGGCCATGGAACTCAACACATACCATTACCTTCAATACATAAACTCCAAAATAGTAATAATAATAATAATAAACACACAACAATAACAACTATTTTGAAAATATGCATTTTCAAAGAGAAGGGGGTTCAAATGATGGAAAATATTTTTATTGCTAGCTTGATTGCCTAACTACGTTTTTAAAAACAATAAAATTTCAAAACGACGAAAATTATCAAAAAAATACTAATAATAAAGTCAAACATCCCTACCACAAACAAAATTCGAAATTCTTAGAATTTGCTAAAAATAACAATTCCTCCAATATATAATAAGATATATACCATTATTTAAGTTACATTACAGATACACAGAAGGATTGATCACAAGAACTTCAACAATAGGAGATCCGAGACTTGAGTCTTCACAACTCCTTGAAATTATTGTTAAAAGTTAACACTATTACTCTCGATTCCCAAATGATTAGTTAAATAATGACAAAATATACTAATGTATTCTAAACTAATGCAACACGCTCGTGCAGTGCAATTTTACATACTAAAGTGTTCTAGACTAATGCAACACGCTCGTGCAAGTTTACCTGAGACGCATCTCATCATCTCTTGACATCTTCAATTTTGATCTCTCCACCAAACCTAAACACCTAGCACAAGTTTTGTCTACTAAAATTGCTCCTGTAACGATGGTAATTAGCGGAAATCAAAACCATGGTATCTATGATAATTAGTGAAAATTAAAACCATGGTATCAATGGTAGCTCTTGGGAACCTCTTTGGATCCTTGTCTCGGCTAACCCTAGTTGGACTATCTAACAAAATACTTGACATGATTTCACATGAATTCCACAGGGGGACTAAAAGAGGCGACCTTTTGTATAAACCATTGTTCAGTAGCAAAGACAATCGTACAAAATTTGGGGGGCACAGGGAATGGCTTTCTTACAGTGTTGCCACCAGAGCAACAAAAAAACTGCCACAAAAATCCACAAAAAAATAGGGCTCGTAGACCTGCTTGAGAAGATGAATCACAAATTTCCTTCTTTCCACATTGCTCTAACAAGGGTTGTGGCATCAACTTTTTTTCGTTTTTGGTTTGGGTGGCTACAACTTCATTCCCATGGAGACTGGAGTAGAGCTTCCTTTGCAAGAACATTGTGAAGCTTCTTCTACCGATAGTCTCTCACTCCAGCCATTTATAGAATTTTACAAATTGATTTCCACATTAAAAACTGTAGCGCTGTCATTGGAACAAACCTTGGCTGACATAAAAAGAACCCAACTGGAATCTTAGGGTATAAAACAAGAAAAAGGCATCAATCTCTTATATATGAGACAGCGTAGTCTTTAATCATCTGCTTCAGGTTCTGCAATAAGATATCATAGTTATAAATACATATTATCACAAGGGGCTATTACTCAAACATGAAATCATTTTGTGGCAGACTAATAGAAAAGATATCAAAGATTGAAAGTGACTAGTTTGGATTAAGATTACCTTTAATTCTTCATGAAGCACAATGAATATTTTCTTCAGCCGTTTATGTCTCTACATAAGTTGAATAATTGAAATCAAGTCAGACTAGGAAGTCCAAGAAGCAGAATAGGTACAAATGATTCATTAAGAGCCCCCAAATGAGCATGAGCTTTAAATTGAAGAGGATGATTTCATATCGTCAAATCAAACATCACAAAGCTTAATTGTTGGAGCAAAAGAGATGCCACATGATGCAAGTTTCTGAGCTGAAAACAACGTTTGATTGGCTGTGAAATCCATCAAAGCAACTATAGAGACCCTAAAAGTTTTTAACGGTGATAATCATCATCCATGCAAACTACCCAAGGCTTGGAGACTTGAGCACACAGCCAATGTGTTGAACCTAAATGGGCAAGGTCAGCAATTGGGATTTATAGCAATCTGATTTCCACAACACTCCAGATTATTGTAAGTATCATGTCACAAAAGGTGTGTTAAATCAGGTTAGGAGAGGGATGATTAAAAATAAGATAAATTGGAAAATACAAGGGGAAAATGGTATTTGATCAATAAACAAAATTTTCATAATAGATTTAACCAATGCTTCAAGCATTCCATGTATATGAAATAAAACATGAGAGAAACAAAAATGAGGCTTACTGTTCCACACTGACGATAAGATTCCTTTAACTGCCCCAAAATGGTAAAATATTTTTCCATATTATCCTTCCCTTTTGCAATTTCAAGGTCCTTTCCCAGTTTATCAAATTCATTCCTGCAACAAAAGAAACCACGTCTCAACCAACAAGAATTTGGACCCACAAATCCAATTTGCAGCAACCAAACAATTAGAAGCTAAAGTGGAAAGCCCAAAACCTTGAACGTGAGCAATTAAAATTTCCATAATACCTGTAGCTCTCTAAAGTCTTGTTCAATGAGCAGTAGCTATCATACTTCTCACGATACTCCTGCACATATTCTTTGTACCTAAAGATGCATGAAGACAAAGGCAACAGAAAAAATGAGCAGATGTCAAAATTTTAGGTGACTCCACAACATATGGAAGATAAAAGGCAAAGGAAAAATATATTAATTAATGTAAGCAAACTCTGTGACTACTTACTGAGAGAAGTCCTTTATTGGTCCTTTGAGATCCGGCTCCTCCTTTTCATACTTGGAATATGAACAACTATTCTCATCAGAAGAAGATTCCCTCCTCTTTAGACCCCCTTCATTACTCTCAGTTAAAGAAGTATCCTTGTGTATATCACCTGAGTCTGCCAAAGTATTTGATTTTTGTATTTTACTTTCTTTCATAGGATGAGAAATTGGTCCCCTATATGTATCATGCTGCTGTGGTGCACTGATAGATGCTTTCTTATTAGTATCTCCAAAATCTTCTAGACCAATCCCCTGGCTTGCTCTAGCTTCGTTATGTCTAAGCTTACCACTCACATCTGCTAATTTTTGAGTACCAACTTCAGGACGATCTACTACTCTTGAGAGGTGTAGTGGGCCTTGTGGCTGAGATGGCACAGCCCTTTGGTGTGGTCTTGTTAAATCTTCAGCATGATGTTCAGGAGTCCTCCTCTTAGATAAAGCCTCTGGATTGCTAGGGATCCCACCCCTTAAATGGGGTGGGGAGGGCTTTCCAATGTCTACAATTGTTTTTCCAGTAGGTTTTCCCTTACTCAAATCCAAATTCCAGTAATCTGAAGAGCTTTGTTTGTTCTCTGACTGCTTAAACGAACTTTTTCTTTCAAATTCCTTCTTAACCCCAGGAGTTTCCTCGGACAAAGGCTCACGAAGTTCACCCAACTCCAAGTCTGAAAGCTCCCTTTGAAGCAACTTGCCTCTCCCATTTATGGCAGGGGATCTTTCCATATGAGAGTTTGAAACCTCTCCAGCCTCCTTAAATTTCCCACCCAGTTCACCATGTTTCCCATAATAATAAGAGTCAAAGTGTGTTGAGTGTTTATCTCCAAAAGCAGCTTCCTTACAATTTCTTGGCATCTTTGTCTCTTTGGTATAACAATCTTCATCTTGTATTTCCCTAGAAACTGTGTCTTTTTGGGCGGGTAAACCCTCATGCGACTGACGATTCCTTTCAGAATATTTACTGCCACGTCCCAAGTTCTCAGCATGTATACCAGGTCTTTCTGCTGAATCAGGAGCCTTTACCCGTGCATTAAGATCAACAGGCTTTTGTCCTGAATTCAGAGAATCCGAAATAGATTTACTAGGGATTCCTTGGTTGTAGCCTTTTTGCAAGGCAGAATCAGCATTTCCATCCCTAGAGGCCCTATTCATCATTTGGGTGGAATGGCCCTTTTGAGGGTCTTCAATGACTCTATCAGGAGATGATTTTTTAGGACTTTCCAAGACAGAGTCCCTACCTTGAGATGCTTTTGGTTGAAGAGAGCTCCCATCTTTTAATCTTTTTGCATGTTCAGATTTTTCACGAGGGTGCGGGTGCTTTGAATCAGAACCCCTTTTAGATTTACCTTTGAATATCCTCTCAGAGCTGTCAGTCTGCCCACGCTTGAAGCCATCTTTAGCAATATTTTCTTTGTCACTAAATAAATTTCCTGTGTAGACCTGGCTCTCTTGATGTTCTTGGTGACCAGGAGAAGAAAGTCGAATGTCTTCAACAGGTTTTTCACTGTCTTTATTAGAAATTGAATTGGCAACAATAGCAAAATCAGTCTCCTGATCATCATCAGGCAAGTCTTTCTCAATCTCAGCTACATCAGAACCATTGCCATCTTGTTTTTCATCAATTCCATTTTGTACAGGCCCAACAACAAAATCCCTCCATGCCATTGGTGCTGTAGAAAACCCTGGTTCAGAAGTTTGCAATTGCGGCTTTGATTCCTTGTCATCGTCACTCGTCATGATATCCACATCCTCATCAGAGCCCTGCTTGCTGTTAGAAGAGGCATCGCTTTCACTGTCACTGCTACTTCCGCTTCCACTTCCAATTGGGCTCTTACTTTTGCTTCTGCTTCTACTATGGCTTCCACTGTCACTTCCACTATCACTGCTGTCAGTTTCACTATCACTGTCACTTCCACTATCACTGGAGCTACCTGCTGGCCCTTCACTATTGTCAGAAACCTTTTTATCACCAAAAAGATCAGGAGAATGGTGTTGGATATCATTTTTTTCTAAAGAATTAAATTCTTCTCCAATGTTAGAGTTCAACTGTGCCTGTTTCTCAAATTCTTCAGTAGCACCTTTCTCTGGAAAGATTGGTATGGGAGCAGGAACGTCGTCACGCTTGTCTTCAAGAGCAGGTATTTGGTGAAGATTATCTTCAGGAGAACTGCAAAAGATACAATATTACAGAAAGTAAAGAAATAATTTTCTACAGAATGATGGCACCCCTTCCAAGATGTGTAACATTCACCTTTTATAACAATTTACAAGGCAAGATTCTATGAAATTGTTTCCATGGTGCGGATGTCTGTGTTGATTAATGGGACTCCAGCGGGATTCTTTCCAACTTTTCAAGGTCTTTGACAGGAGGGACCCTTTGTCACCACTGCCATTTATTCTAATGATGGAGGCGTTGAGTAGATTGTTGGATAGAGCAGTGCAGGAAGAGCTACTGGAAGGTTTTGTTGTGGGATCGTTGTCTAGTGCTACTATTGGTGTATCTCATTTGTTATAAGCAGATGATGCTTTGATTTTTTGTGGGGCTAAAGTAGAGTAGGTTGGACATTTGAGATGTGTTTTGCTTTGCTTTGTTTTGATTTGCTTTGAGGCGGTGTTGGGCCTCTAGGTCAACTTGCGGAAGTCGGAGCTTATTTCAGTTGGGCAGGTTGATAGGTTGCATACTTTAGCGGTGGTATTGGGCTGCAAGGTCTCGGCGTTGCCGTTGTCTTATTTGGGTTTGCCATTAGGGACATCATTCAAGGCGAAAGGGGTGTGGGAGGGAGTAATGGAACGTGTTCAACGTCATCTCGCAAGAAAGGAGGGAGATTGACATTGATTAAGAGTGTGTTGAGCAGTATTCTGACCTACTTCATGTCGGTCCATGTTATCCCAGTGTCAGTGGCACAACGAATGGAGAAGCTTTAGAGGGATTTTTTGTGGGGAAGTGGCGGAGATGAGTTTAGGCATCATTTGGTGGATTGGGGGTGGATCTGTCTACCTAAGCAAGCAGGGGGTTTGGGGGTGAGGAGGTTGGTGACTTTCAATAGAGCTCTCTTGGGGAAGTGGTTGTGGCGCTTTGCGTTGGGGCATGATTGATTCTGGCAGAAGGTTGTGGCTTCTAAGTATGGGGTGGGACGAGGGGATTGGGTCTCGAGAGATGTGGCTTGTACTTATGGTTGTGGGTTATGGAAACGGATTTGGTTGGAGAGGGTGAAGTTTTGGAAGTGGATTGGGTTCAAGGTGGGGAATGGGGTGAGGGTTAGGTTTTGAAAGCATAGGTGGTGTGGTGGGATTTTGCTGGAGACCTGTTTCCCATTGATTTTTAATATCGCGATTGATTGGGAGGCTACAGTTGCTTCTCATTTGGGAGGTGGAGGTACGGTGGTTTGGAATATTCAGTTACGGTAGGAGGTGTAGGATTGGGAGGTTGCTCAGTTGGTGGAGTTGTGGGGTTTTTTATACGGTTTGGGGATGACTGGAGAGGGACAAGATGGTATGGTGTGGAGTGGGAGGGGGGCAAAGGGAGGATTCACAGTTGCGTCATTCTATTGGGGTTTGGTGGGGGATTGTGGACGGGTATTCCCTTGGAAGAGTGTTTGGGTTTTGGGGGTTCCTTCTAAAGTTGCTTTCTTCATGTGGATGACAGCTTTAGAAAGGAATCTCACTTTGGTGAATTTGATGCGGCGGAGGCATGTTTTAGTGAATCTGTGTTGTACTGATGCGGAGTCGGTAGAACATTTGTTTCTTCATTGTTTGGTGACATCGCAATTGTGGGGTTTTGTTTGCTCACTTTTTGGGATTGCTTGGGTTCAACTGAAAGGAGTGTTGGATTTGCTTTGGCTTTGGCGGGGTGTTCGGCTTGGGCGTCGACGTCGGCGGGTGGTTGTTGGCGCCATTCTGTTTAATGTGGCTTGTTTGGTTGGAGCAGAATAGACGCACCTTTTCCGAGGTCTCACATGGTGTCTCTTGGTTAGAGAATCGTCTTCTTGTAGTTTTGTATAGTTGGTTGGAGGGGAAAGTTGATCCAGACCTATTTGTCTTTTTAGATTTTATGTGATTAGTTAATGCTTGTTTTTCTGTTTTCCCCTAATTGGGGCGGGCATTTTGTATTTGTTGCATCTCTTTGATGCTTTTTTAATAATATTTGTTTATTTATCAACAAAAAAAAAAGAAAAAAAAAAGAGAGGATGTAAGAAGCTTCCTTAAATTTCCGTAATTTCCTTTTTTAATGCATCTAAAAAAAAAAAAGAGTATGAAATTACATAAAGTTCTTTTGTATGTGTCACTTTTTAATCAAAAAGAAAAGGAAAAAAGCTACAGCATAGCGGACACCTGGCTTATTCACCAGATAAGCAGAATGCAGTGAGTCAAATCCATGAATGAAAAATATATCCAATCAAAAATTACAGGCATGGAATTTCCAGTAATTATTCCAACAATAAAAAAAAATAAACAAATAAAAATAAGGCAGAGGAGAAAATCAGGATTGCATGAAATTTTCATCCAAAACGTACAACTATCAGATCAAATTACGAAATGTAAATGGATAATGATGCAAAGATATCAGCATCCAAATTAATGAGATTGACAAACAAATGGCACACAAAAGCAGCATGGTTTTTTTATTTTTATTTTATTAAAAGCAGTTAAAAAATAAAAAGAAGAAGAAAAAAAAAAACTCATATCATTCTAGATGCGAGGATAGGATAATTTACAAAGTATCACATATTGCAGATTTTATGCATGCCTTGTGTAACACAGTAATATTTTTTATCCCATTTCAGTTCATCCTTTTCCTAATGGATAATCAAGATGAAGCAATGAATACAAAGTACCTAGCTTGTGTCTTGTATTGATTATAACTTGCTAAAATATAAAACAGTTAAACAACTACACTGTTGGTAACCCCCTTATGCAATAAAGAAATGGCAGGTACCTTCCACTTTCTGACAAAGGTTTCTTGAAGTTTTCCAACTCCACTCCTGGTTTCAAGATATATCGTCCTGGGGCTTGGAAAGTTGCAATCTGATTCCGAAATTTAAATGAGAACACACAAGATCATTCACTCATTCACTGTTCTTACAAACAATTGTATCAAGGATTTCCACCACTTACTTTTTTAATTATGTGCTCAATCTTCTTTGCAGAGTTGGGTATCATATCGCCAATAGATTTCTCCAAGGCCTATAATATACAACAAAATGTAGGAGCAAAAAGAAATTAACAAGCATGTGATAGAGAATGAATGGATGCAATGAAATATACTCGATAATTTGATGAAAGTTTTACTGCATGAACGTCCTAACAGAAATATATAAATTACTCACAGAAAACCAACAAATTTGATGAAAGTAGTTTGAATCACAAGCTTACCTTTAGACTCATACCCTCAGGTTTCTCCGTAAGTAGTGAAATCAGCATGCTCTGCAAGTCCATTGGTTTAGCTCCTAAATTCCCCTTGCGTCCTGGTTTTTCCCATACTGCTCCACTAGTGGCCCTGTTGGGCATTTCTTTCTCAGAGCTGGTAGCATTCTCTTTACTCATAACCTGACTGGGCATAATCTCTTCTACACTGGTATGACTTTTGATAATATTACCAATTCCAAATGGAGATGCTGGAGCACCAGAATGCTCAGGTGGTGAAGGTAGTGGAGAACCTGATGGCCTGCTCTTCGCAGGAGTTGTTGAGGGCAATCCAGGTTTGTAAGTAGATTTAGGAGGGCCTCCAACTGCAACTGTGGCAAGAGAATAAAAGAGAAATTAAAGAAATTTTAACGACGACTTACACAAGTAAGAAAATTTTAAAATGAATTAACAACAATTTAAAGTAGCAGCTAAAGTGCTCGAGTGATGTTCAAGTTGAACTTCAAAATAAAGCACATCCTGAAGAAGAAATGTTCATATTTAACAGCACCAATTACCTGGAGGTGTCTCAATTTTCCTCTTTTTGAATTCAGGCTCCTTCTTTTGTTTGAAAGGCTTTCTCCACGGGTTAACTAGAAACAAGGAAACCATGTTAGGTACCTTGCAATGATGTCAAAATTTTGGAATGTAATTCTTACATTGGAAGTATTTACATGAGAATGCATTTAAACCAAATTACAAGATCAGTTATCTCGAGGAGATCAATAATCCAACATCTGCAAATGCAGGAGAATTAACTTATTTACTTCTATCACCAATTTCTCATTATCATAATACAGGGAAAATGCCAGAATTATTGATGTGGATGTCATTTATTACCAGACGGTATAAAACTAGATCTCACATTGCCAAATAAATGGAGACTACTCAACAATAGCAGAAGTAAAGAGATGTGGTCTTTTAGGCCTCCTTTGTGAAATATATTAAATGTCCAACACAAAAAGAAAGTGTTAGATTTGCATAAAAGAAAGAAAAGAAAGAAATGAAGAAAAGAGAGAGCATTGCTGCTGCTGTATATTATTTCACACCACTAAACATATTAGGGTTACACATACTTATAATAAAAGACTAAAGGAACAAAAGATATAACTACCCTTATACACTAATACTTAGCACTCCCCGTCAAGTTGGTGCAAAGATATCTCTCATGCCCAACTTGCAGCAAATAGGATGGAAAACCTTACTACTAAGACCCTTAGTAAAGACATCAGCCAATTGATCTGCAAACTTCACAAAAGGCGTACATATGAAACCCTTATTCAATTTCTCCTTGATGAAATGTCTGTCGATCTCAATATGCTTTGTTCTATCATGCTGAATAGGATTGTGAGCAATACTAATGACAGCTTTGTTGTCACAGTACAGTGTCAATGGTTCACTACAAACAAACCCAATATCATTCAACAAGGACTGGAGCCACATCAATTCACATGTACCATGCGCCATAGCCCTGTATTCTGCCTCTGCACTAGATCTGGACACCACTGCTTGTTTCTTACTACGCCATGTGACTAAATTTCCTCCCACAAATGCACAGTAACTGGAGGTAGATTGCCTGTCATCTATAAAACCAGCCCAATCAGCATCTGTGAATGCCTCCAACCTCAAATGACTATGATTGGAAAATAAAATCCCTTTTCCAAGAGCATATTTAAGATACCTCAAAATACGATACACTGCATCCAAATGAGGGGCACAAGGCTCATGCATAAATTGGCTCACTATCCCAACCGCATAGGCAATATCTGGACGAGTGTGGGATAAATATATAAGTCTTCCCACAAGTCGCTGGTACCTTTCCTTCTCCACAAGATCACCACTACAAAGATGGTGATTAGCCTCAATTAGCGAATCAACAGGTCGGCAGCCTAACATGCCAGTTCCCTCAAGAAGATCTAAAATATACTTCCGTTGAGAAAGAAAGATGCTTTTGTCAGATCTGGCAACTTCAATCCCAAGAAAGTACCGCAACGAACCAAGGTCTTGACCAACAGCATCTTAAGATGTGTCACTTCTTCCTCATCCTTACCTGTCACAACTATGTCATCCACATATACTATAAGCACAGTTACCTTATTTGCGTGACGGTTGACAAACATTGTGTGATCTGCATTGCTTTGCTTATACCCGAACCTCAACATAGCCTTTAGGAATCTGTCAAACCAAGCTCGATAAGACTGTTTCAAACCATATAATGCCTTTTCAACCTACAAACTTTCCCAATTGTAGACTAAGATGAGAATCCTGGTAGTATATCCATATATACCTCCTCCTCCAAATCACCATGGAGAAATACATTCTTCACGTCTAACTGCTGTAAAGGCCATTCCAAATTAGCTGCACATGAGAGAATAGCTCAAATGGAATTCATCTTTGCCACAGGAGCAAAGGTTTCTTAATAATCATATGTCTGAGTAAATCCCTTGGCCACTAATCGTGCTCTGTACCGTTCAATTGTTCCATCTGCTTTCTGCTTGATGGTGAACACCCACTTACACCCTATAGGCTTTTTTCCACTAGGAAGAGAAACCAACTCCCAAGTGTTATTCTTGCTTAGAGCTTGCATCTCTTCTACCATAGCTACTTTCCACTTAGGATCATTGATAGCTTCTGTCCAACTCTGGGGAATACATGCAGAAGACAAAGACGAAACAAAAACACGATATATAGAAGACAATGAATCATATGACACAAATTTAGAAATGGGGTGTTGAGTACAAGCCTTAACCCCTTTTCTAAGAGCAATAGGAAGACCCAAATCATTGACAATAGGACTCTCAACTAGAGGTAGAGGGATAGATTGAGATGCATTACCTGGAACTGGCATGAGGGATAATGATGGGTTTGGTGGCACAAGGGATGCTTGCTCTTTCGGACACCGAGAATAAGTCTTAAGATCAGCCCTGTCCAAATGACCACTAATGTCAGGCTCCACATCAAGAGAACTATTAGGCTCCCCCTCACCACAAATAGTAGTTTGCTGACTAGGAAGGAAAAAAGACAACTCGTGTTGATAGGCCATCTCCTCATCCGCAATCTCATCCATACCACTACTACTCTCCTCCGGAGGAGATGGCGGAGGAGAAGGAAAAAAGGACATAGATTCACGGAAAGTGACATCCATACTTACATACACTTTGCGAGTGAGTAGCAGAATAACCAATAAAGACACAATGCACAGCCTTAGGATCGAGTTTCCCACGAGTACGAGGTTGCAAATGAACAAAACAGACACACCCAAACACCCGAGGAGGAAAATAAGAGGTGGGATATGCGATAAGAATCAGTTGAAGAGGAATCTGAAATTGGAGGACATTGGAAGGCATACGGTTAATAAGGTAAGCAGCGGTAAGAACAACATCACCCCAAAATGACTTAGGGACATTCATGGTAAACAAGAGAGAGCGAGCAACTTCAAGAAGATGGTCATTCTTGCATTCGGCAACTCCATTCTATTGAGGAGTACCAACACAACTAGTCTGATAAAAAATGCCATGCTCCTCTAGGTATGCCCGAAAAACTCAATCAACATACTCAGTCCCATTATCACTACGAAGAATTTTGATTTGAGCATTGAAAAGATTGGTCACCATTTTATGAAAATTTTGGAAACAAGAAAAAACTTCACTCTTAATTCGAAGCAAGTAAATCCAAGTCACACGGAAAAAATAATCAATAAATGTAACAAACCATCGATACCCAGAAGTAGAAACCATAGGGAAAGGGCCTCACACATCGGTATGAATAAGCATAAAAGGATTTATTAATTGAAGGGTAACAAGTACGTTTATGCTTTGCAAGTTCACAAGCATCACAACCAAAAATACTACTAGGACAATCACGAACTAAAAAAGGAAAAAGTTTCTCTAAAACACTAAAGGAAGGATAACCCAAACGGCGATGCCACTAATGAAGGAGAGAAAGAGAAGAGCCAGTAGTGCACTTGAGAGCTGAAACAGGGGCTGGAGAGGCCAAAACCAGTCAAAAACTGAGAGAAAACGTGCTGAAACTGAGAAAAATCGACAAAAATAGAGTGAAACCTTGCCAAATCATCAAACCAATCCTCCCAACCCTAGGACAGTCCCAGTCGGCTCCCAAGGTAGAGGGAGGAAGGAAAAAACAGCCAAAAACAAGCCCCAGCAGGGACTTCCAAAAAAATCAATCGGTTTTTCCAAAAATCAACAAAAATTGGAAAAACACTCAAAAACTCATCAAAAAATTAAAATAAAAATCTATGGTGAAAACCCATCGAATTTCAACCATACAGGAATTTTTTTTGGATTTTTTTTTTTGTGGATTTTTTTTTTTTTTTTTTTGCAATCTTGTGTATAGGGAAAAACGAAAGAAACAAGAAACAAGAGAAGAATCTTCAAGGAGGAAGATGAAGCTCTGATACCATGTTAGATTTGCATAAAAGCAAGAAAAGAAAGAAAGGAAGAAAAGAGAGAGCACTGCCGCTGCTGTATATTATTTCACACCACTAAACATATTAGGGTTACACATACTTATAATAAAAGACTAAATGAACAAAAGACATAACTACCCTTATACACTAATACTTAACAAAAGGAAAGTTCCAACAAAACTCATGTGGCTATATATTGGTTCCACTCCACATAAGTCAGATCATCCTACAAAATCCCAGTAGGGTACCATAGCATCTTGCACTGAAAACAAAAAACATACCACGGCATCCTAACCTAATTCATCCCCACCTTGCCCTAGCCCAAATCGTGACTTTTCTCTTCTCAGCATGTTTTTCATTCAATTTCACAGTAAACCAAACGGTTCAAACTTCAACTAATTCAAGCCTAATTCCATCTTTAAAACCTAATCTTATCTTCCATTCGTCAACCCTTAAAGATGTGATCTTATCCAGTAACATGTGATGAGAGTGCAGCCTTCATTAGGCACCATCGTACATCACACATTGAACCACTGATTCTATTCCATACATGATGTGCATGGTGTATGCATGCATTTAATGGAGCAATAAACCCCAACATGTCCATCTTCAACCCCATCCAGAGTTTGTTGTCATTCCAAGTATAGAAATGTCTCAAATTTCACGTCATTCAACTATCATCCATTCAAACAAATCAAAAAAAAATAAAAAATTCATTCCGTTTGGTTTCCATTTCCATAATTCACTTTTCAAAAAAATCTACTTTTTCGTTTTCCGTATTTTTCTTCTTTCACTAAATTTTTTTAATATTTTAAGCAATTTTTTTTTAAAAATTTTTAGACACACCTAACATAAATACACTTAAAAACTATAATATTTGTGAAAAAAATCTTTAAAAAATTCACTAAATACCAAAAATATAAAAATAAAATAAAATAAAATAAACGAAAATTCAGTACATTTTTCGTATTTTTTGTATTTATTAATTTTTAAAAATATTTTTTCACAAATATTTCACTATTAAGGCTTATCTAAAAAAGTAAAAAAGGCGTATCTAAAAAAGTAAAAAAAAAATTTGCTTAAAATTTTAAAAATATTCATTAAAAATAAAAAAAACACGAAAAACAAAAAACTCAATTTCTAAAAAACTGAATTCAAAAAATTAAAACCAAACACATTGATGGTTTTTTTTATTGGGGGAAGGGGGTTAAAGATGGGAAGGAGGAATATTGGCCTACTTTAGTAGGAAAAATGCTGCTCTGAATCAAATACCATACAAAAGAAGTTTGGTGCTGTTTTGCACAATAATGCCAACTATAATGAAAATTTGAAAACTTCATAAAAGAATTTGGCAAAATATACTACCATCATTCAACATTTGTTCATAAAATTTTCTCTGCATGTCATCAAGGATTAGAAATGGTAACTATTAAAAAAAGAAAGAAAGATAAAGAAAAAGACAGATAAACATTTGAATCAAAATCTTACCCTCTGCAGCAGCTAACGCCTTCATTTGACTCTTCATTGACGGATTTCCATGGTCTAAAATAATGGCCCTGTGATAAAGAAAATACAGTCAATATTACTTGCATAAAGCATCCAAATAGCTTGAGGAATCACTCTCAACAATATGACTATAAATCAGCCTTTAAGTAACTCTTTTGAAACAGAAGCGCGTAGATATGACTAAGGGAGGCATCATTCCAAATTTGAAATATTATTTAGAGATGATAGAGAAAACATCAGGGCCATTTCTTCAACACTAAATATAATCTGAATTAATTGTTGGGCAAATTTGGGCACAATTTTGTCCCATATAACGATCAGCTTAATCATGCAAAAGGAACAGATTTACAAATGTTTCACAGATAAGCTTCTTCTTTTTCTTTTTCTTTTTCTTTTTTCTTTTTTTTTTTATTTTATTTTTCGTACTCATTCTCAGTCCACTTTCGTTTCTCATCATCACATTACACTCTTCTTTTATCCCCCATTTCTTTTAATACTTATATTCTTTCTATTTCTTTTTTTTTTATTTCTCTTTCATTTTATTTTTCATCTTTTTTTTTCATTATTATTTCTTTTGTCCCATATAATGATCAGCTTAATCATGCAAAAGGAACAGATTTACAAATGTTTCACAGATAAGCTTCTTCTTTTTCTTTTTCTTTTTTTTTTTATTTTATTTTATTTTAATTGTGATATGTTTACTGTCCAATCATAGCAACAACAGCTCTCTATTCACACACACACACACTCAAAAAAACAGATCTGAACTTGCCAGAAGTACTGAAACAAATTCTACAGGCAAATAAAAGATTGGACAATAACTACATTAATTGCAAGAAGTTCTGGGTCACAACCAGAAAATGTAATATCTGATTTGAAAACAATTCTGAGGAACAACAAAAAGTTATTGTGTGATTAAAGTTGAATGTTGTGCAAAAGCTTTATAACAGTCTGCTATGAATGCCATCATGATGAAGCAATGTATTTCACAACATGAATGCCATTGTTACAGGGTGAAAAGCCTCCAGTTTGAACAAAAATGCTTTAACTCATTTTCAGGAAGCTTTCCTTACAAGGCCACTCACAATTCAAGAATGACGTATGCATTATCAGGAGTTTGCACCAACTAAAGAGTTGTAAACCAAATTTACAAATGTAGAAAATTATAAGGTTTCCAGATACTTCCAAACACATAAAGAAAAACTAATATTACCCAGCTTAAAGCTTTACAACTAACACGTCTTTGACCTATAGGAATCAGGACAACACTCATAACAAGATACATAATGAGGTCCTCAATATTGTATACACTTGCCAAATTAACACAAAAAATGTTGTGAACTGTAAGCTGGCACCAATTTTTGACAGCAACATTTTGCAAAGTGAAGCCCAACGGAACAATACAACAAACTTCTAGAAACAACCACCCAGTAATGAAACCCTTTTTGTATAAATTTAAAGCATCAATTCTTATTGCGTGTCACATGTCTCACAAATTTCCACCTTCCTGCTGTGACGAGGAATCCAACCTCAAGACATCCAAAAGATGAATTTGTCTTTGTACACCAACTGAAGAACAAAGAAGCAAAACCATTGAATTCTTAAGCTCGCTTAAAGCTGGAATCGAGGACAGTTATTACCTTCTATTCATCTTATTCAGGAAAATTCACCCAAGACAATCATCCGCAGTGAACAAGAATTGATTAGATGTGGGTGGAATGCTTGCCAATGGCTGAGACGTTCAGTTGACTCCATCCCCCTTTGTGGAGGTCCAGACCCTCACAAGTGAGAAGAAAAGGAAGGAGGGGGAGTTCCAACTATTAGATTTGGATTGACGGTAGGTCGGATTTGAAGAAAGAGTTCTGTTTCTCTAGAATCAGGCAACTACATGCGTAATTATTCAATGGTTTCTGGTGATGGGGGTTGTCTTTGCTATGATTTTAGGCTTTAGGGAGCTTAGCATACAAGCTGTGCTGTTTCCCTCTCAACTTTGGATTTATAGCAGACCCATGAAATCTAAAACACTAAACCACAATCCAGAACAGAAGACCACTACAATATTGTGTTTAAAATATTTTAAACACTCTGCAAAAATAATTATTTCCTTTATAGTAAAAACCAAAGGTGTGACTGACCCTCTAATTGGCACTAATCCCATGAATTAAACACAAAAATTCCCATGAGACATGCATTAAAACCAACTGTCCAGGAGAAACTACACTAGACTTTTGATCAAAAGGTCAAAATGGAGAAGATATCCCCCCTGAGAACACCAATTCTCTAACTTAGTCTGCATTGTTTCAAGGTAATAAATCCTCTGCATGATGACTTGAGTGATCTCGTGAATTAGTTTGTCATGAATTACATTGTAAAGAGAGAAACCACCTTTACATTAACACCAAGGATGCAAAATATGTATGACCTTATAAAAATAACCAAGTATTCAGCAGAACTCTACTCTGAAAATTTACATTGTACACTAAACTTATACAGGTTCTGGTCATATATAACTTTAAACAAAGTTACAAAGGAAAGAAACCACAAATGTGCCAATAACATTAATTACAGCTTTTGAGTTAAATAAAATCTTGGTAACAGATAAAAAAGGATAAAATGTATAAAATTCTCCGGAAAGAGCAAGAATGAAACATTAACCATAAGGCACAATCTCAACAGGTAAAATTCCTGCATATGCCCATTGAACTACATCTTACTGAGGCATGTGGATAGCAAAACATAAAGCCTTTATGCAACACATACATATCAAAAAATTATTAATGGATATAGATGAAAAAGCATAAAATTAGTGTTTGAAAGAGAGAGAGAGAGAGGAAAAAGAGATATATAAGCATGCTTAATCCACCAGTTAATTATGAAGAAGACATTCTGCAAATCAAATTCACAACATACTTTCGTGATCTTAGCTTCTTTTCAGCTTCCTCTGACCGCATTTTAACATGGTTTTTAGTCGATTCATCCAAGACACGCTGTACATTCAGCTTGCGCCAGGCGCACCCTGATTCAACAAGCAAGCCATTTCCATCTTCACCACTTTGACGTTCTTCATATATGTCACAGAGGTCTCCCATTTCACGAGACCACACGAACCTGAAGTCCTTACCACCCACATCAATAACCTGATGCAATGACAGACTGCTTAAAGCTATGATTGATAAATTACTAAAAGGTCAAAATCACAAGAGATTAATAACAAACAGAACATTGATGGGCATCTTGTTGCAATTGCAAATGTCATGGAATCTAATAAGTAGTAATGTAGGAGATATGATATTATAAATCTTCACACACATTACGAAAAAAGGAAATTGGTCAGTTAAGTATCTAAACTCGCTCTATATGCAAGCCTACTTGACACATACAAACTTGTGAACAATTAATGATCCAGCTCTCAGAAATCTTCAGAACAATCCAAATTCACCCATAAACAAGCCGTAACCTCATATTCTTAGCTAATAAATAGAATGCTAAGTTACTGGAAACAGCTTAAATTTTTGCCTATGCATTCTCTTAGGATGAGAAACGAAAAAGAAGACAAAAGAAAGAAATGTGGAACGCACAAATTACAACTTATTTCTCAGCAGCCAAATAAGAAGAAATCACAAATTAATTTTAGTATCTTGTCCTCAATAGACTGAAACTTATGCACTGCTTAAAAAGGTCTTGGAGTTCATTTTATAAAAAAGAGAAGCATTCCAGTTTGCTATCAACAGCTGATGTGCATGGCTGTTACAAACTATAAAGTTAATCAAGGATAGAGGAGTCCTTGGATAGTTGTCTGGGAATATATATGGGCATTTTAATCAGTGCTATTGATGCTGGAAATTAGTATAATATCTTCCAGCATCCTAACCCAATCAGCTATGTGATATCAAATAAACATCTTATTACATCCCTAGATCTTTTTCCCCTTCTTTATAGGTTGGCTTGTTCTGCAAATGTGTCTATAGCGTTGGTGGCTTGCTCGTCTATGGCACCCATCTCCTGAAATTTTGATCTCATTAGAAACTTGAATGATAGGGAGGCGGGGGAGTTGGCATCTTTGTTGGTTGTGCTCGAGGGGGTTTCTCTTTCTTCGTCTTCCAATAGTAGGGTGTGGAATCTTGTCTCTTCTGAGGTCTTTTCATGCAAATCCTTTTTTGATAAGATTATTGATAATCCCTCGATTCCCTTGTTCCCTTTTCATAAGAAAATTTGGAAAGTGGGTGTCCCTTATAAAGTGAAATTTTGCATGTGGTCTTTGGCTCAAAAGGGTATTTCAACTAATGATGATCTCCAGAAGAGAAGGCCTAATCACTCTCTATGCCCCCAATGGTGTGTGATGTGCAAGAGAAATTTGGTGGTAGCGGATCATCTTTTTCTTCATTGCCTGGTGGCTGCTGTATTATGACAGCGTCTTTTCAGGTTATGTGATGTGCAGTGGGCTGCTCCACGGGAGTGTATACATATGCTTCTTATTCGGTTTGACGGGTTTGGGAGTACCAAGAAAGCCAAAACAATGTGAACAAGCATTGTTTTTGCTATTTTCTGGGTTATATGGTTGGAGATAAATGTTTGAATTTTTGAAGGCAAAGAAGTAAGTGTAGAGGATTTGTGGGATAGGGCTGAATATTTGGTCTCTTTTTGGGCATTTGTATCTCCTCCTTTTAAAAGAGTCCCTTTGTTTTTAATCTCTAGGGATTGTGCTGCTGTTTGCCATCCTTAAGGTTATGAGTTTTGCGTTTTTGTTTTGCTTTTCTTCTTCTCTTTTTCTTTCTTTGTATGAGGACTTCTTGTCCTCTTTCTCTTTCCCGTTTCAATAAAATTTTGTTGTTATTCAAAAAAAAAAAAAATCTGGGGTCAAACCAAGACATGGTGTTCATGGTAAAGGCCAACCTACCTTATCAAACTTAACGTCCCTTAATTGTTCATCGTATAGCTGTAATTTCCTACCAATCTAATTCTCCCATTTCAACCCTATGTTAAAGATGGTGCATAAGGTTTGATGGGAAACATCAGAGATGATGAAATTCAAACCCAATTAAAATATAGTGGCTTTTTGGCGACTAACCCACCTTCCCAAATAAGGCCTTAGTCGAGTTGAATTACTAAACACTTCTTTTTATTTCCAATACCTATTTCCTTTCATTCCCACATTCTTAAAAACAAATTGAACAACTCCTACCCATGTAGAACATCAAGAAGATTGTGGTGGCAATGGAAGAAGTTGTTGGTTTTCCAACGATAAATCTACTACCAAATTCTTTCCATCAACTTTCACAAGAGGAACCAAGTTACACCCAATTGATATAACAATCCCATTGTCTACTTAATCTATGAAAAGTTCTCTAGACATGAGAAACATAACATTGTATTATAGCGCTACCATGATTAATCGAGGCACTAGGCATGATTTTCAATAACTCTGCTTATGTCGTCTTTTGACACAACCAACCTCAAGGCCAATTAAAAGAAGGGGATCATGGCAAATCAATATCCATTATGAAATTTATAATCACACCTTTATGAATATGGATACTAAAAATTCTTCCATTGAGGCGTTCCCTACTTGCAATGTGCTACATCGGAGACCAAGTGTAGTGATAAAACAACAAGACTTAACTAGGGTATAACTCAACCCCAAAAACTAGCTATTGAGGTGAGGATGCCCTTACGCTTATATAGTTCACTTAGTACCTATGTGATGTAGGGCTTCGCTACACACCCTCCCTCATGCATAGTGTGCTTACTAGACAACACTAGTGGTGTGCAGGCCACTAGGAACTTCAGTTGTGATATCATGTTACATGGTCTTGAGTAGAATTCAACCCCCAAAGCTAGATATTGAGGTGAGAGTGCTCTCATGCTTATATACTTTACTTTAGTACTTAGATGATATGGGACTTCGCTTTAATATTTCCTCCACGAGATGTGTCACATTGATGTCTAGTTGTGGTGAGAAGTAGGCAAGGATTCTTGCACTTTAATGAACGAGTGCGTGCAGAAGCTAATCCAAGTGAGTAGTATACAATTAGAAACTTGGAATATAGGAATACTACCGAGTAAAGGGATGAAATTAGTAAATACTATGATTGTAATGAAAATTAATATTATTTGTCAACAATAAACTAAATCGGTAGAAGAAATTTTATGGAGATCGAAAAGGGAAATTGAAAGAACCTAACATAAACAATGGTATAATGGAATTGGAATAGATAAACATAAGAATGGAGTAACGATAGTTGTAGCTAAAAATTTAAAAGAAGCATTACATTAATGAAATTAGCATTAGGAAAGCAGACAATGAATATAATTAATGTTCATATACTAAAAGTTTTTACTAAATCATTTACATGGTGTGTTTATTAACACACAATAAGTGACTACTTAGGCCATCTCCAACGTTTACTCAAATTTATCATCAAATTCAAATTTGATGAAAAAGGCTTAAAACATGAGATCCAACCCTGTCATCAAAGTGATACCAATCAAAGGAAGCGGCAAAATTTTCATAAAATTACTGGGGCGTTTAATCTTTCATCAAATTTTGCACGTGACCGTTGGTGGAAGACCGGGTGGACAACCTCCCAGACAACTGGTTTTGGATAAAAATTTACTTTTCATCGGACGACCAGCAGGATAACCAGCATAATTGATGAAAACCGTTGGAGTGCATCATATCAGATCAAACTTTTCATCAATTTTTTACTCAAATTTGATGAAAGATTTGATGAACGATTGGCGATGCTCTCAGACCTACAAATTTACTTTAAAACAATCTGGATTTTAAGTCAAAGTGACCTAACTTACCGCTGCACCTACAAAATGCTCGGGGGAAAGTGGCCTCCATATTTAATCTTAATGGACAAGTTCATTCTATAATTTTAGCCACCGAAACATTTTAGCACCAGATGGGTTTCAATTGGTAGCATTTTCTCCACTGCCAGATAACTCAAAAGGCATAAATTCTTAATCCAACACAGAAATGAAGTAAACCCAGAAACCCAAAACTTATCAAATTTATCAAGTATTGTCTGATTAATTTATCGACTACCCAAAATTCCCCATACTACAGATTGTAATTGTCCTAGTTTCCAATAACAAATTGAGCTAAAACACTAAAGTACTACTCCAACACTAAGACCAAATTCCAAACTCAGTTTCAATTTCACAAGGACCAAACTTTAATTAATATGGATTTGCCCAATCATGTGCGATTCAATTCAAGCAAACTTACATTTCCGGAAGTATTGTTCATATTCGAATCGAATTTGATCCGTGCAGTACCACCCTGAGCCTCAACGCGCTTGATCTCCTCAACTAGGTCAGGCGCGAGCCGTATAATCATGGCGAAGTCAAGGGGATTCCCGGTGACTAAACTAAACGTCTCCTCCGCCGCCGCCGCCGAAGGGGCTGATGCAGTAGAGCCAGCGGCGGTGTTACGGTTACGAGGACCAGTGCCGCCGCCGCCGACGGAGAGGCGGTTTCCGGGAGTAGAGGAGGAGGAGGAAGGGCGGTGGATAGGCGCCGGGTGGTGGAAGGTGGAGTGGAGGTTGTTGTTGCGCTTGCCGGCACCTCCTCCTCCGCCAGCACCGCCTCGGCCGCCACCGCCGCCGCGGCCGAGCTTTCCGGTGGGTCCGTACATTGCAAAGGGCGAGAATTGGGTCTGGTTGGGAGGGAATCGAACCTAGAGATACCGAAGAGACTTCTTCTGCCTATATATATATATTTTTTATATTTTATTTTTTTTGAATTATTTTCCTTTTTAGTTTATGATGATGATTTATATGCATACATTATAAATAGGGCAAATTACATATACACCCCTCCAGGTTTGGTTAAATTATAGATACCCCTGAGGTTTCGGAAATTACATCCCGCCCCCTGAGGTTTGTATTTTCATAACAATTTACCCCCTGAGATTTATATTTCATAACAAATTACCCCCTAATTTCTTATGCAAATATAGCATTCAGGGGGGAATTCGTAATTTCTCAAACCTCAGGGGTATCTGTAATTTTGCCAAACCTGGAGGGGTGTATATGTAATTTGCCCTTATAAATACACCACCATCAAGAGAATGAGAAACATTATTCACACGTGAGTAGATGTGCATTGGAGTCCAACCCAATTGCTATTTATTTTTTTTTTGGATAAATTACATTAACATTCTTAAGATTTATATTTTTTATAGTTTTTTTCTCACTTTTTGAAAATTACATCCCATTTCTTAAGATTTAAAATTTAATTACAGATTGTTCTTTCAGATTATGCTGATATCAGCAATTTAGTTTTTTTAAATACTAATTTTGTCTTCACTGGGTAAATTACATTAACACCCCTCATATTTTAGAAATTACAATCCCCTCCCCAAGGTTTAAAGTAGCATTACCAATTGCCCCATCGGTTAATATTAGTTGAAAAAAAAATTTAATTGAAAAAAAATTTGTTAATCAAATTTTTTAAATTTGGGTAAATTACATTTACCTTCCCTGAGATTTCTGACAAATACAGAGACTTCTCATGTGGTTTGAATAATTACAGTAACCTTCCCTGCTTTACCTGACAATATCAAGATTCCCCTATTCCGTCAGATTGCAACAAACGACGTTACTTGCATATATTAAATGAACATATTACCCCTTAATTTGAGGTCAAAAATATGAAAATACCCTTTGTTCCATCAGGGTCATCCTCCTCAGAGCTTGAGTTCTAAAACAGAGAGTGAGAGATAACCCTGAAGATAATTACTTATTTTAATCAAAATATGCAAGACCCAGATGATAAAAATCACTAATTTAGATATATAGATGTAGGGATTTATATATAGTAATATAGATATATATATATATATATATATATATAGATAGATTTTTACAAATAGTAATATATATATATAGATATACATAGATGCAGAGATTTATATAGTAGAGATTTATACATCTATAACAAAGAGTTCAGTAAGTATGTGAGACCAAGGAATAAAGAATAGGGGTTCTTTTCTTTTCCTTTCTCATTTTTTTTTTGCTTTCATCATCTACCATTTCTCATGGCTGAAACAAAGGATTTTTACTTCATTTTTTTTTACCTTTGCTACAATAGCAGGCAATAGTAACAAACCCATAACAATCTTTACATATACCATATTTCACAAAAATAGCCATAAAATTAACAATTAGCAAACCCATAACAATCTTTACAGATACCATGTTTTACAAAAAATAGCCATAAAATTAACAATTAAATATTACCTTTATGGTTATATATATATATGTAAATTTGAGATAAATTAAATAATTTTAATCGAATATAGCGTACACACACACACATATATATGTGGCATATATACAAATTAGATAATACTTGAGGGTTAGATTAAAGAATAGGGGCTTTTGATCTTTGCAATTTCCATTGATCCAACTATTTTCTGTTTCTGAGCATGGGCGGTGGTGTAGCGAAGGCAACCGAATCAAACAACAAGATTGTTCTTTCAGTTAACAGATTTTGCTGATATCAGCAATTTAGTTTTTTTAAATACTAATTTTGTCCTCACTGGGTAAATTACATTGACACCCCTCATATTTTAGAAATTACAATCCCCTCCCCAAGGTTTAAAGTAGCATTACCAATTACCCCATCGGTTAGTATTAGTTGAAAAAAAAATTTAATTGAAAAAAATTTTGTTAATCAAATTTTTTAAATTTGGGTAAATTACATTTACCTCCCCTGAGATTTCTGACAAATACAGAGACTTCTCATGTGGTTTGAATAATTACAGTAACCTCCTCTGCTTTACCTGACAATATTAAGATTCCTCCCTTTCGTCAGATTGCAACAAACGACGTTACTTGCATATATTAAATGAACATATTACCCCTTAATTTGAGGTCAAAAATATGAAAATACCTTTTGTTCCATCAGGGTCATCCTCCTCAGAGCTTGAGTTCTAAAACAGAGAGTGAGAGATAACCCTGAAGATAATTACTTTTTTTTAATCAAAATATACAAGACCCAGATGATAAAAATCACTAATTTAGATATATAGATGTAGGGATTTATATATAGTAATATAGATATATATATATATATATATATAGATTTTTACAAATAGTAATATATATATATATAATTAAAGAATAGGGGCTTTTGATCTTTGCAATTTCCATTGATCCAACTATTTTTTGTTTCTGAGCATGGGCGGTGGTGTAGCGAAGGCAACCGAATCAAACAACAACACTGCCGAAAGCGACGGTAATAGTGGTGGTGGTAACGTGACTGCCCACATCCGATGCTTTAACGGCTAAAGTTCCGGTACAAATCAGCTTCTACTCCACCATTGGATCCTTCAAGTTCGTCGTTGCCCAGAACTACGACATCCCCGTTGAGCAACAACGTCTCAATGACGACGATAGAGAAGAAGCCTCCTCGGAGTTTCCGCCGCCGTGTTTGAAAGAACTCGGAAGCCTCTCAAATGGTGCGACCGCCGGAGTAACTGCATATTCAACTTTCTTGGTTTCTTCTTCTCCCATTATTATATGTATATATATATACTTATATATATGTGCTAAAATGAGTAGTATCCAAAAAGAACTCATGGGCAAAAATAGATTGAGGAGAGAAAGAGAGACCCGAATCAAAAACTTGAGGGCATTATAGGAATTTCAGTTTTTTTTTTTGATGACATCAGCAACTTCTGTTAGTTACATGAACGACAGTCAAAAAATGGGGGAATCTTGACATTGTCAGGTAAAGTAGGGGAGGTTACTGTAATTATTCAAAAAAATTAATTGGGAAACAAAATTATTTGAAAAAAAATTAATTGAAAAAAAAAGTGTTAGTAAAATTTTTAAATTTCTGTTTAAAAACTAACATAAACTTATTTTTTGAATTTACGTTTTTTCCTCAAATTTACAAATTGAGACAACCATTTATAAATCAAAAAAATTATCAAATAAGATTTTATGACAGTTTTTAAAATTTTTGTAAATATAAATTGAAAACTGAAAACGAAATGATTACCAAACATGCCTTAGATGGTAAAAATGTCGTAAAATTAACAAATAATTAAATAAGTTACCAACGTAAGAAATGACATATCAAAAGATTCTTAGGCTATGTATGGTTTGATTTTTAGAATTTTTTTTTTAAATTAAAAATTAATTTGGTTACGAAATAAAAAATAAAAAATAAATATCATTTTTATATAATTTTTATCCTTCGAGTGTTTAGAAATAATTTTTTGCAAATTAAATATATTTTTTCATATTTATTTTTATTAAATTAATTTTTTTTTTAAATGTCAGGGGGGATCTATATTAAATTGAAACCTCAGGGGGTGTCAATGTAGTTTACCCTTTAAAGTATATGTAATGGATAAGGATAAATATGTCATTTTAACTTAAAAGTTAACACCGTCAAATAATTACACTGACAAGGGTGGTCAATGTAATTTTTCAAATGTGAGGAGGAACTGTAATAAATATAAACCTTAGGGGTGTTAGTGTAATTTACCCTTATTTTTTTATTTTCTATTTTTTTAAGCATCAATTGCTAGGTATTCAGTTATGAAGTAATTCTTGTATGCGGATAGAATATATGTCACGTGCTACTTTTTATTATTGTGATTAATCTTGACAGTACGATCAACTACATTTATGTTGAGTATTTGAGGAATAATAGAGAACCAATCACCTTGCTTGGTTTCCAGTTTTCCAAAACACTTTTCAGAAAATTTTACTTTCTTATTTTTCGTATTTTTTTAATTTTACTGAATTTTTTTAATATTTTAAGCAATTTTTTTACTTTAGACACACCTAATATAAATACACCTAAAAAGTAAAAAAATTGTAAAAAAAATCTTTTAAAAATTCACTAAATACCAAAAATACAAAAAAAAAAAAACAAGAATTCAGTACATTTTTTGTATTTTTATGTATTTATTAATTTTTTAAAATATTTTTTCACAATTTTTTTACTTTTTAGATACATTTAAGTAAGATGCATCTAAAAAAGTAAAAAAAAAATGTTTAAAATTTAAAAAATATTCACTAAAAACAAAAAAACACAAAAACTAAAAAAGTCAATTTTCAAAAAACCTAATCTAGAAAACTCAAACCAAACACAGTGAATGGTGCTACACGTATGAATTGGTATATCAATTAGTATAACAACATATGTTATTGTCATTTCAAAATTATGACCCCACCTATTATATAAGGCCTTGTTTGTCATATCTCAAAAAAGTCAAAAAGCTAAAAAGTCACCATCATATTTAAGTCACATCATCTTATTTAAGTCACATCATTTCTCTACCATATCACTTCAAACTCAACTCATATCCAACTCATATTTCATAAAAAGTAAATAAATACACTTATTTAGAACATCCCAAACAACCCTTAAATTATAAAAATTCAAAACTTTTAAAATTATGTCACATCATCCGTTAATATATTAATTGTAATATATCAATTGATGGATATAACATTATTTATAGGAGCATATATATTTGTGATTGGTGAAAGATAATATTAGTATATAAAAATTTACCTTGCTTGGGACAACTTTAAGCCTAAGTATTTTTTTTTTTTGACGAAATTAATAATATTAATTGTTGCTAACAAATACTTATGTTTTACCAAGAATTACAAATTCTCATTTTTATTTCCAATTTGGTTCTACATTCTAATTCTGAAATAATAAATTGAGTCGGTTATTGAAATAGT